CCTTCAGAGTCCTTGCTCTACAGCAGCATCATGAGAAGTTTTAAGGTCACAGATCCTTAGAATGATTCTAAATGTCTCTGCTTCATGGAGAAACATTTAGCTAAAGAAGTTATCAAGTTCTAACTTTGAGAGTCTATTATTGCTTTAAGAACTAGGTCACAGCTGTAAATTCTAAAAAGGCATTGCTATACATATACTTTATTGTTAAGTGCCAGTGAGCCACTTCCAACTCAGTGACCCTGTATAGGGTTCCCAAGAAGTGGCTGGTGGTTTTGAACTGCTGACCTTGCAGTTAGCAGTACAGTGCTTATCCTACAGTGCCACACCAGGATTCCACATATACTTTTGTCACTGTCGTTAAATGCCATTGAGTTGGTTCCGACACATAGTAACCCTGTATAGGGTTCCCAAGGAGTTGCTGGTGGGTTTGAACTGTTGACCTTGTGGTAAGCAGTCTAGTTCTTATCTGACAGCGCCACACCACAAGTACATGTATACTTTAGGGTTTCTTTTATAAACCATTGTATTGGAGTCAGAACATACTTTGAACTAATTAAAATTAAACATTGTAATGATGATTTCAGAAACTATCTCTTTGCCTTTATGATAATGTATGTATTAATTTGCATCACTGAACAGGTACACGAGCCCTAAAGGGGAAAACATGATCCACTTTGTTACAACACACATTGTAATGAGATTTTTAGGAAAAAAGAAGAAACAGCAGCACATTTTTATTTTTGGGGAGTATATTTAGACAACATAGCTACAACTTAGGTTCCTTTCCTGCCCCTTAAAGAGGCACCGCAGGAAATGAAACCAAAGGTAATGTCACTCATGTTGACAATGATCGATTCAGCCACTCACATAAAACTACAAATCAAGGAAAATTGGAAAAGTTTTCAGTGTGTTTTAGTGAAAACATTCTTTATTGGTAAGGTGCACATCGCAAATGTTTTGATTACATAATCATGCAAAATGACTCACAGCACAAATATTGTCTAACTAATCATTATGACATCATCTTTTTTGAGATAATTACAAATTTAAAAAATAAAGGAAAATGACTTTCAATGAAGCATAACCCCGCTGCAGCACATGTGGAGGCATGGTTCCTTTCTCCTGAATGTTGAATTCCCTCTCCTAATACATGCCTGTGTTTTGGAAGCCTGTCATACACAAAAGTGGGAGCTGTTTTTGTGTACGTCTACTGGCACCCCACCTGAATAATGAACTGAAGTTACAAGAGTGAAATTTCAAACAATTTGGCACGGTTTGGTTAATAGTTTCTTTGAGTCCTATTTGGTTAATACAAAACAGAATAATGTCCTTTTATTGAAAATGCTCATTTCTTTCAATCTCTTCAGGAAGATGATTTTGTTCTTTTGAAAATGTCGCTTCTTGCTGGTAATCTTTTTGGACTAGGGCTACTATATAGCATCCAAGTTGTTTGCAGTGAGTGTATAGGAGGAAGACTTCAGGTATTCCTGAGCAAGAGACTGAGTGTTACTGTAAGACACAGAGACAGTTACCTATGCAGTGTGGGGGATATTAGCACTTCTGTTGCCTGGAAGGTAGCACTCCCAGTATTAAAACCCCAGCACAGGAAAATTCATCTCTTTGAAATAACCAGTACTGTGGAGAAACATGAAGCCCAATCTCCCAGTAGTTAAGTGGCAGAATGAGGGACTTGAAAAAGTTTATGAAAAAAGTCCATTATCTTTTCATTTTCTCACAGACATTTTTGAAACCCCTTGTACATGGACATAGCAGACCTTTCCAGATACACAGGAAACTCAGGTTCTTGGGGCTTTATACCAGCAAAAACCGTCATTTAAAATCTTTGCGTACAAAATGAAAGAAAGCTGCTTATGTGTTAAGTGCTGGTGAGTCAGTTCTAACTCATAGCAACCCTATATAGAGTTTCCGAGGAGCAACTGGTGGGTTTGAACTGCTGACCTTGTGGTTCTCAGTCCAGTGCTGATCCTACAGCGCCACACCAGGAGCCCAAGCAAGCTGCTGGAGGCCCAAAATTCTGCAGGCAAGAATCAGGCTGATGTAAACATGAACAATGAAGGGTAAGCCAAGGGAGAGTCACAAGCTGTGAGGTAAAGGACCCAGTTTTAACTGTAAGGTAGGTGTCCTTTTGCCTTGGCTCTGGAGAAACAACCCTTGCCGTAACTGCAGTGCCTTGTTCTGGGACTTTTGGGTCACTCTTGGGAATCTGTGATGGCAAGTAGGGGCTGGTAGACCAGAAAAGACTCCCTTGGGAGGCTGTTAGCAGCTAGTCTCAGGAGACCTGCTTAGCCTCTCATGCAGATCTGGCTAATAAAAGTCCCAAACACTCGGCCTCATAGAGCACCCTAGAACACTTGCTTTTAGAGGATAATGTGTTCCTTGGAATATGGGTGCTTCACTTTGGGAACCCTTCCAGACTGTGCCCTACATGTCTCCTCTTCTTTTGCTTCCTTTTTGGCATACTCTCTGACTTGTTTCAGTGAATTATCAAACCCAAAGGGGCAGTAGACACAGCAAGTCAGAAAGTACCTTGAAATGGGGTAAACACATTGACTCTTTGGGGCTACGAAGCAACCGTGGCAGGCAGAATAATAACCCTCTTTCTTATCCCCACCCCAAGAAATTCAAGTCGTAACTCTCAAAATGTGTAAATATGTTACCTGGATTCTTCAGGCAGGAAAAATTTTAACATGAATCAGATAACTTTTCCTGGCTGTTGTCAGACACACATGGTGACAGAGGAAGGGTCAGAAAGAAGTGACACTGCCTTGCTGGCTCTGAGGATGGAAGAAAGGATCACATCCCAGGCAGGCCAAGACCCCTAGAAGCTGACAAAGGCAAGGGAACAGTTCTCCCCAGTCTCCAGAAAGGAAGGCAGCCCGATTGACACTTCGATTTTAGCTCCATGTCAGCTCTGGCAGCTACAGAACTAAAAAGTAGTAGATTTGGCTTGTTTTAAACCACTAAATTTGTGGTAATTTGTGATGGCCATAATAGGAAACTAACCAGGAGTGGTTATCAGAAGATGAAGTGGTGTTGGTGAAGAACTATTTCTGTCATTCCTGACATAGTCTATCTCAGACAGGAAAGACGCGACTTCAAAAGAAATGCATTATGCTGGTGGTTCTTCAGGTCCAGTCCATGTGACATATTCTGCATCTCTACACTAAAGGAATACATTCTGGGTCAAGCATTTAGTATCATGTTTTAGTATACACGGTGGGTTCCCTATAAAAATGTGCTGATAGAACAAATAAATGTGATCAAGGCTGGATCTAGGAAAGATTGTCATTTTTGTTCTAGCTTGTGACGCCAATAATTCAATGTTGTTGTTGTTAAGTGCCACTGAGTTGGTTCTGACCCAAACCTGTATAGGGTTTCCTAGGAGTAGCCAGTGAGCCTGAACCACCAACTTTGCAATTCAAATGGCTTTGTAGTCTGGCGCATTAACCCACAGCGATACACCAGGACTCCAGTAATTTGATGAGGATAAGTCAAAAAGTATTGCTATTAGCATTCTAGGTCATACATGCAGGAATTTGTTCCAAACAAAATGTGCTGACACAGAATTCTGTGATCAACTGATAGCTGCAGACAAGTCCTCTTAGTAACACACCTGTCTTAGTCTCAGGGTACTTTCAAAAAAAGGTCCAATCAAAGAAGCAATCTGCTGAGTAGAGAGGTCAAAGTTTACACCTCCGAAGAGGTATTTTGATAGACTTTCTCAGAGGGAGCTTACTAAGAAAATGGAAAACTGTACTGGTTAGAAAAAGGCTAAGAAACTTGTACCAAGGTTTTTTTTTGTTTTGTTATTTTTCCTTCCCAGCATGACTGCACCTTCTCATTCTTCAAGTGTAGCAAGGGTTACCTTATGAGAATTTCATTGGGAAACCTTACCTCGATCACCCTACAGTCCTAATTTTGTCCCTTTAGACTTTGTTTTGTTCTCCAGACTCACAGAACACTTAAAAGGAGCATAATTTGAGTCTCTTGAGGATGGCAACTTGCCTTTTTGACATGGTGTAAATGGGAAGAGTGCAGAATTCTTTGGGGAAGAATGGGAGCACCATCTGCAGAATGTATACACCCAGATGAAGGACATGTTGAGAAACAACAACTTCACTTTTTGTTTAATAAAGGTTTCTGCGATTTTTGTTTATGTTTTGACCTGTTGCTGTTAAGTGCTGTTGAGTTGGTTCCGACCCATAGCGACCCTGTATAGGGTTCCCAAGGAGTGGCCGGTGAGCTCGAACCGTCGCCAATGTGGCTCAAACTGACTTTGCAGTCCAGCACATTAATCCACAGCACCACACCACAACTCCTATTTTTTGACTTACCCTCATATAAAATATGGTCAAAGTATATATTTTGATGCTAGCAATATAGCTAAATCAGTAAGTAAAAGGGATGCATAAAATTTTAATAGGAAAAATAATATATGATCACACTATTTTAAAATCAGAATAAAGATACTTTATAATATAAATAACAGAAAAACAAAATTCTCAGCTTATTTGTTCAAAATATTTCTTAACCGCTACTGGTCAATGCAGTACCAAGGAACTTCCATGTTATTTTATCAAATGTATTTATCAAAAAGGAGTTTTTGTTTCTCTACAAACAAATACTGTTACACTAATAGTGGGTAATGTGGCAAATTAGCTTGCCTGAAAAACAAAAGGGGTCAAACTGAAGATCTGCTCTGTAAACCTTCACTCAATTCACAATAAAAAGTTTCACACACAAAAAAAAATGATCAACATTAGCCAGCCCTCTAAATAAAAACTTAAATTTACTTATCTGATGATCTAGCTTTAGTTTGGATTCATCTTCACTAAGGCTGGAAAATAATTAAGAATAAAACCAAAATTTATCTGTAAAAGTAATAAAAATGATTTGGTTGTCTCTTTGCTGGATGTATGTTTCTTACTGATATGGCACATAATCTCTTCCTGCAGTCGGCGGCACGGATAACAACAAGATTACTTTAGTTGCTGAAGTATCACAGTATTTAGAACATCTGCTTCTTGTAGTGTCAGGCTTTCATCTATTAGCTCCTTGTTTGGAAAGGATGTCACAAGAATAAAGTCAAGAGTTGCAAATTCAGGACGAGACTGTATAATGAAGTCTCGAACATCCAGGATCCTGAATAAAGAAAAATAATTTTATACAAAACCCTACTGACAATTTAATCCTTTAGTTAAAATTAAGTGATAACAAAATAACACAGTGCCCTTATTTAAAAGCATTCTAATTTTATTTTATTTATAGAAGTTTCAATGGATAGACTAATTCAGCTTTAAGTTAAAACATGAGAAAAGTTTTAACTGAGAAAAGTTTTAACTGGTCTTGATCTATTTACTTTTGCTGTAAAATAGAGAATAATTTCAGGTTAAATTATACCGAAGTATAAATGCAATTATTACACAAAAAGCACAGGCCCCACCTTCCTCTAACTATAAACTGTGTTACCCAATAAAACTCTGGGGCCATGGATTACAGGGACATGGTGAGTCTACAACTATGGACAGTGGTAAAGTCTTAAGAATCATTTAACATTGTTTCTTTCTCATAGATCAGGAGACCTCAAAAAGTCTGTAGAAAAATGGAATGAACAGATACTGGAATTTTTACACAACCTTTTTGAAGCCCCCTTGCACACAGTTACTCAACCAAAATCACATATGCATCATATAGCGAGACTTCAATAAAATTATTATCTTAACACAAAATACATCAATATACAATAGACGTTAAAAGTACATTTTAACCCATTTATTTTACATTCTGGCAACAGTATTGTTAAATTTATTTACAGTATATTTATATTATGCAGAATTTAGTATATTTCTAATTTCAACTAGAATTATAATTTTTAAATGAAAAAAGTCCAGATAGTTTTATTGTCATTGACGTTACATACCATCAAGTCAGTTCTGACTCATAGTGACACTGTTATCAGGTTTCTGAGGAGCATCTGGTATACTTAAACTGACAACTTTCGGTTAGCCATTCAGTGCATATCCTACAGTGCCACACCAGATACAGCTATGCTATATTAAATTAAATCTAGAGCTAAAAAACATCATGGCATTTGCAACTCTTTCTTACTAAATACCAAAAGTATTCAAACATGCATTTATTTTAACAATGCAAAACTGCAGCTCTTGCAAGATTTGCTTTACTTTTGTGTGTTAATTGCACTGGTATCTGGATGGTTTATAGGACATATATACCCATTATTTCAATTTATACACATAGCTAACTAAATCAGTTTTAGTTTTTCCTTCCATCAAAAACTTACTTCATAAGTAAATCTATAAAGAATTTCATATTCTTCATTACTCAAGTCACATACAGTTTCAATTTAGATTAGTAACCACATGTACAATAGTAAACTATACACTTGGCTGGTAATGTAGCTTACCTGTGGGTATTATTGAATCTTTGTATCAAACGACTCCCATCTGCTAACCTGATTTGAATTTTTGTTGTTGGCACTGAATCATCAGTAAGAACAACAGCATTAAGTATGGACTTATCCTCTTCTTCTGGAGAGGAAGGTGTACTAATGATTTCTGGTGTAAGGCTAAGAAAGAAAAATACAGAATTAGAACACACAGATCCAAATATATGACATATGACTAATAGAAGACAGCAAAATAAACAATTCTATCTACAGTCAATTCTCAGTTGGTCCTAGACTAGCAAGAATGTGGCTTTCTTTGAGTCTCTTGCCTTCCAACCTATTTCATATTAACATTATTCTGGATTCTATGACTCTGGTTTCATTTATGTATCAATCGCTCTCAGAACCTAATTTTGAATTCTCACTGCCTCTAACTCCTTGAAATTACTTGAGATAATTTAGCAACATCAGTTGCTTTAGTCAGAAATATGAGTAAACTTTGAGTTAAAGTCAGAGTGACAACACCAAAGAAAAACTGGCTTTCCAATCCTATATAGCAAATAGTCCTGGAAAATGCTTAATATAGTGGCTAGCACATATGGTTTCAACAGTTAGCAGCTATTTTTGCAAACATCATGAATCAATATCAAACTATTAAATTAATCTGAATTAAGATTACTTAAAGAACATCTGATTAAGTAGTTTCTGCTTTGCAAAAGAGCACTGCCTCCTGAATACTAATGAGAAATAAGATTTGACACATGGTAATGAATTTATAATGAAGTGTAAATTGACAGACATCACCATTTGACCTTGGTGATTAGCGACTTAGCATTCTTTGCTTCCTTTCTTTTTTCTTTTAGTGTCTATCCTCTAGTTAGTAACTCACCCCTCCCACCTCTGGTAATCTTCAAAGAATGATTCTTCTGTATGTAAATCTTTTATTGACTTTTTATGGAAAATACTTAGCAACTTCTACTGTCAGCATGGGGTGGTCCATCATTTTAAGCCAAATGTGAATGTCGCTTTTGATTAGACTAAACAATTAAATTTAACCACGTTCTCGTTCTTTGTAGACATAAATTCTTAATCTCTGCTCAGTCATTTTAAGGGCTTCTCTTTATACTCTCTCAAATACTGAGGTTTAAATGGATACCTATAAATTATTTTCTTTTTGTTGTTGTTAGGTGCCATACAGCTGGTACCGACACATAGTGACCCTATGCACAACAGAACGAAACACTGCCTGGTCCTGGGCCAATCTCACAATTGTTGCCATGCTGGAGCCCACTGATGCTGCCACTTGGCCAATCCATCTTGTTTTGGGTCTGCCTCTTTTTCTCTGACCCTCCACCTTACCAAACGTGATCTACTTTTCTGGCGACTGGCCCCTCCTGACAGTATGTCTGAAATATAAGAGACGAAGTTTGGCCATCCTGGCCTTCAAAGAGCACTCTGGCTGCACTTCTTCCAAAACGGACCTATTGGTTCTTTTGGCAGCCCATGGCACTTTCAATATTCTCCTCCAACACCATAACTCAAAAGCATCAATTCTTCTACAGTCTTCCTTATTCACTGTCCAGCTTTTGCATGCATATGAGGTTACTGAAAATACCATTGCTTCGGTCAGGTGCACCTTAGTCCTCAAGCTGACATCTTTGCTCTTCAACACTTTAAAAAGGTCTTGTGCAGCACATTTGCCTAATGCTATAAGTTGTTTGATTTCTTGACTGCTGCTTCCAAGAGTGTTGATAGTTGATCCAAGAAGAATGAAGTCCTTGACAACTTCAATCTTTTCTCCATCGATAAGAATGTTGTTTATTGGTCCAGTGGTGAGGATTTTTGTTTTCTTTACATTGAGATATAATCCATACCAAAGGCTGTGTTCTTTGATCTTCATCAGTAAATATTTTAAGTCCTCTTCACTTTCAGCAAGCAAGGTTGTATCATCTGCATATCGCAGGCTGTTAATGAGTCTTCCTCCAATCCTGATGCCACGTTTTTCTTCATATACCCCATCACAGTTGGTATAAAATAAGCCATCTCAGAAGCAGGAGATTTCAATATCATTAAGGAAGAAGAGGCAGGAGTGGAACACATCCTTTAGGACTCTAAGATACCTGCGCATTGAACCTCCTCCAACCCAGGGACAGAAACCTATGACACTGGAGGAACAGTAGAGAACAGTAGAGAAGCAGCAACAGCAGAGCCAAGAGCCAAAGTACCAGACAGAGCACAGGGTCACTGAGTCAGAACCAACTCGACAGCACTTAACAACATAGTATTATAAAATAGGCTTCTTGTGTGATGCGAATTAATAAAGTTACATGGTGATTAGAAAAAGCCTGTGTGGTACAGTGAATTTACTTAATCTCTTCTAGACATGGTCTTTGTGATTCTCATCAAATGACTGGAAGCAGAGAAAAGGCATTCCTGACAGGAGAACTGCTGCATCCTGAGTTGTTTCTGATACTGAACTGGACCCTGTTCATGTCTTTAATAAATCCCGTAATTGTGAGTATTGTCAATAAATTCTGTGTGGCCATGTCAATGGATTATCGCACCAGCATGAGAAGCGGAGAGTGGAAATCATCAGACAATCTCTTTGATATCCCATGCGAGTAAAGTTTTGCTAAAGGTAATACAAAAATGGCTACAATCATGCATTGACAGAGAACTTTCAGAGATTCAAGCTGGATTCAGAAGAGGCGTGGAATGAGGGATATCATTGCTGATGTCTGACAGATCTTGGCTGAAAGCAGAGAGTATCAGAAAGGTATTTACCTGTGCTTTACTGACTACACAAAGCCTTCTGATTTGTGTGTGGATCATGACAAGCTATGGACAACATTGCACAGTATGAGTATTCCAGAACACTTAATTGTGCTCATGAGGAATCTGTACCTGGACCAAGAAGCAGTTGTTCGAACAGAACATGGGAGCAGTGAATGTTTTAAAATTTAAAAAGGTGTACGATAAGGGTTGTATTATTACACCATACTTATTCAACCTGTATGCTGAGCAAATAATCCGAGAAGCTGAGTTATATGAAGAAAAACGTGGCATCAGGATTGGAGGAAGACTCATTAGCAACATGTGATATGCAGATGATACAACCTTGCTTGCTAAAAGCGAAGAGGACTTAAAACATTTACTGATGAAGATCAAAGAGTGCAGCCTTCGGTATGGATTACATCTCAATGTCAAGAAAACAAAATTCCTCACCACTGGACCAATAAACAACATTCTTATCAATGGAGAAAAGATTG